GCTATCGACGAGTCTCTTACTGGCACAATCTGGCAACAACCGATAGTGCGCCAGAAAATCGGAGCCGATGATGGCGGTGTTGACGTCAGCGATAATAAATCGCCATTGAAATGTGCGGCGTAGCCCCAAATTAAGCGCCATTTCTATGTGACCAAAAGTGCGTATCTCACTACCATTGGCAGCCGCTAACGTATAGTTTGAACGTACCGGCTTATTTGCTAACCACTGGTATGGGTAACAGGAGAGGTCGGAGCCTATGTCTATTAAAAAACGGCGCTTAGTTGCGCTTTCGGTGACAAATAATCGGCGACTCTCCTTTAAGCAGTCAGACGTCGCCATCATTGACTGCTTTTGTTGTTTTCCGAAGGTGGCGGCGGCGTCCAGGTACATGGTTGAATACACTTAACAGCTTTAGTATTAAATTTCCTATGGTAAAAGCACATTTGAAGCTTACCAGGCGTTTGTGAACGTTGTCGCTGGTTTGAGAAATCCCGGGTCCTATTTCTACCGCGCTCTGCAGTAAGCACAGCAAGCTGACGCGTGACCTCATCCAGACGCCGTGTGATATCTTCTAACGAAGGGGGTGAGACGGCAGACGTGCTTGCTGAGAAAACAGCAGATGAATGAGGTGCGACCATACCAGGCGAAACTTCCAAAATGTTGTCCGCTAGCTCAGCGACTTTGTCCAGCGAGAGTTCTGATTGGGCGGCCAAAATTGCTTGGAAATGTTGTGGGAGGCGACGCATCCATAGCTGGCGAAGCAAATTTTCATCAGTGAGGGTGTTTCCTGTCAATGATCTAAGATGACGTAAAAACTGCGAAGGACGGCGTTCACCCAACTCAATATCACTGACAAGTTGCCTGACACGTTGCTCCTCAGACGCGGACAACCTACGGATCAACTCGGATTTGAGGCGACCATATTTGTCCTCAGGTGGTGGTTGGAGAATAATGTCATCTACCTCCCCAATAACTCGGGTATCTAACTGAGCAATCACGTAGTTAAATTTAGTCAGGTCAGCGGAGATGCCTGAAATCGAGAACTGTGCCTCTACCTGAGCAAACCAAATTGCAGGTCGATCAGGCCAGAAGGGAGGAAGTTTTATGGCTACTCTGCATACTGAGGTAGGTTGAGGAAATAATGGGTCTGTGGGGGGTGGGTCCGTTTTATCAATGCCTTGCATTTTAAGTTTTTGTAACTCAGCCTTTAGGATGGCATTTTGTTGTAGTAACAGTTTCTTTTCATTTTCTTCTCTAACTAATTGTTCGTTTGCCTCCATTATTGAACATTACGTTTACAATTGTAAAAACAAAAAAAAAAACCTAAGCATTTATACAATGTAACAACTTAAAAAATAATAGTAAGTAAAGAGGAAATTGAAAATTAATGATTATGTTAAAAGATGGCAAAATACTGACTATAAGAGACAGTAAAACAATGAAATAAAATTATAGTAAACAAGAAAATAGAAATTAGTCAAATACAGATGTGATGTTAGCACCGACTTACATTTCGTGACGATTTACTCTAAAGCATTCATGTATATAAAACCTAAAACTGTAAATATTTTGCCTCGTAAAAACAAATGTTTCCTTACTACTAATCGTACAATAATACCTTAATATTATTATTAATTACAATGTTATACTATGAATTGGTGGAGCAATGAAGGCCCGTTAACAAAATATGATTAACTATTGTTACAAAAGGAACCTTTAAATTAAATTAAAATTTTGTTTTTCTTGTTTTTTTTATGTCGACAAAGCTGTTGTATATACAATTATGTAACAAAATTAAAGTTATAGTATAGGCGGAGAATATGAAAAAGTATTAAGATTAAAATAAAATAAAAAAAGTGTGTGTGTCCGCTCCGACGCACGACTGGAGTTTACTGGGTATAAAAAATTAAACGAAACAATACGAGAAATAGTTCTATATTACGACAACACGATACACTACAGATTATTAACAAATTAACGAGACACAAAACAAACGACTAACAAATATATGAAAATACAATAATGAGAGAAACGCGCGATCAGTACGAGGCTTTGTGGCGGACTGCCGGCGCAGCAGCCCGGCG